TAACAAAGCAATATATGACATAAAAACCATCATACAAGCTGTCACAGACTTCCATGCGCCACGATGACTAAACCACGTGTCCCCACGCGCCTTCACGCGCTCACACATGCCTAAGTACACATCCTAACACAAGCAAAAGCTCCCTCACGTGCCAACACGCGACGGGTCTGACCTGGGTCGGTTTGACCCGTTTGACCGGGTCGGGTTGACCCAGTTTGGTCCATTAGGTCGGTCTAAACCGCTTTATCGTTTCGTTGACCGGTCTGACCCCATTGACCGGTTCATTGATCGGTTTGACCCATTGACCGCGTTGACCGGGTTGGGTTGACCTATTGGGTTTTGGGCTGGGTTGATCGGGTCGTTTGACTATTGACTTTGACCGGGTCGTTTGACTGTTGACTTTGACCGGGTCAGTTTGACCTGTTTATCCTATTGGGTCGGTTCTTCTTGACCCGTTTCTACGACTTTTTGCCCAGTTTTTTGCAGATTTTAACAGCCCGTTTCCAGCCATTTTTCTGACATCTCAAAGGGGAAACTTCAATATGGACATATAACCTATATCGGTGACATCCCAAATGACAATTTCGTCCTAAATCAGTGCCATAAAAGGCTTCCGAAAACACCCAAACAATAATTTCTAACCAAAACTTTAAACTAGCATAACTTTGCATCCAGAACTCCGTTTTTGATAAATAATATACCGTTGGAAAGGTTTTTCAACAAGGATTCCAATGACATCAAAATCAAAAACAAATTCTATTAATAATAAAAGTTATGCTTGATTTACAATACGGGTTTTAATGAAAAAAATCCCAATTTTATGTAATATTTTTCAGATTTGCAACAAACAACTTCATGCTAGGTAGAGATTCAAACAATGCTCTGATACCAAATGTAAAATACATTCATATTCCAATATTCATATAAAAGTTGATAATGCAATCAATTTCAACATAAAATCTCCATGGAATATATGCGGAAGTAAATGACAAACCTCCAGCCATAGCAATTGTTGTTTAATCTTCTTGCTCCTTCAAAATACAGGATCTTCCACTGACTGCAATTTTAGAGTGATGGTTTTTGAATCTAAAATAAAAATTGCATCTAATGGGGACCTATAAAGTCTCCTTTTAATACGCAGTTGTCTTTCCATCAAAGACAACTGCCCAAGAGAAGAGACACAACTGTATGACCATATCAGTCCACATCAGCATAAGAGTGTAGGATCATAATGTAATTATATTAAAAGTGTAAGACCATAAGGCAAAAAGTCTAACATTATATCCCATCACTTATTAAATAAACCTATAGTGCAATATAATTTAATAATTTTGGAGAATGCAACATAAAATATTTCAGATTTAATGCAAATCATTTATCATGTTAGAATTGACAGAATAGAAGTAGTGAAACATTAGGAATTTACATTACTATCCCTATAGTTTAGATAAACATACGAGTAAAGTCGGCGGTGGATTGTGCCGTATCTAACAATTCAAGACCCGTCGTGCCATGAGCCATGCTGTGCCAAGGCCCGCAGAAATTCATGTCATGCTAGCTCACCAATTCTGAAGGCCCACGGCACAGCCCGCTATATATCGTGCTGTGTTGTGGGCTGGTCTACAATTTTTTTAAATATTTATAAATTATTGTAATTTTGATTTATTATTAATAATTATTATAAAAATATTTTATATGTTATACTTTGTGACATTTTGTATTTGTATTAATTTAAAAAATATATAATTATTATAAAATATAATAAAATAACGAGACATTGAAATATTAATTGAATTTGAATACTTTTTAATACTTATAAGTTATAATTATAAATTATAAATACAAACTTAGAAATTATGGCTTTTTTTTTTAATTTTAAATTTTTTTTCGTGTCGTGCCATACCGATCTACTTGCCTTTTTTAAGGCCCACGACATTGTCGTATGATCATGGGTTGCGCCGTTCTTATTTTTGTGTCCTACCTTATCGTGCCATGCTTTTTTTGTGTCATACCTTGTTTTTTTTTTTTTTTTCTGTCTTGCCATGAGCCAGTATGGCCCACTGCCAACTCTACATCCGAGGAGCTAGAGTGAGCTTGGGTACTGTTTGACTCCTCCTATGTTTATCTAAAATATAGAAATAATATTGTAAACGTCCACTAGTTTTGAAATATGACCATAACCCTCCGTCTATCTACAAGTAGTAGCTAACTGTTAGAATTATTTACTTATATGATTCCATTTTAAGAGTAAAATCATAAAACAACTCACCTCAAATTGTTTTTTTTAAGTAAGACCTTTGATATATATATTGTGGATGATTTTACCCTTCTCTTTCAATTCACTTCTTTCTTTTTCATCTTTTCTCTCATTTCTCCACCTTCATGTTTTTGAATTTACGTTTTTTTGTATTATTTGTATATATTTGGGGGTGTATATTATGTTAATATGTGTTTAATATAAGTAAAACATATTGCATATTTAGAGGGAAAAAAAAAATCACTTTCCAACACTTGAATCGAAAGAACTGATTTCGAGAAATATTGCAGAACTCAAGTTGCTCGAGTCCAATCACTTATCAAGGATCTAATTAATTTAGTAGTTTTTATTATTATTTTTTGGTTATAATAAATTTTTAAGTACTATCTAAACAATGTAATAATATAGTTAGTTATCATTAATTTTATATTTTTATTTTGTTTTGATTTTCATACTTTGATTATTTAAAATTACTTAAAACATGTAAAAGTATAAATTAACTTCATAAGGAGATATGTGTCAAAATACTAGTTTTAAAATATTTACAATATGTGAAAATAAACAACTCAACACAAAAAAAACATAAAATACATGTTTGTAATGGCAGTTACAATCATCCTACAAATTAACTGCAAATTATCCTATGTATATAAAATCATTCAATGTCTCACTCTATTTCTCTAGTTATCACTTGACTACTCTTGATTTCGGAAAAAAAAAAAAAAAAAAAAAAGGGGGTTCTAATCTCTATCCATTACTTGAAACACAATTTTTGTGAAATTTAGTTTTCTAATCATTAATTTAAGTCACTATTGATTTTATTTGTTTTGATTTACGTTGAAAGAATTTGTGGGTGACAGGAAAATTGTTTGTTACGAGAGTGGATTGTATGAGTGAATTCCCAAAGGTATTATCCGCTTTGGGTCCACAAGCTGAGCTGCTGATAGGCTCATATGATTTTATCCTGAAAAGGCACATTTGGGTTTTTGAGGGTGTCATTGTGCTATATAAGTGACTAAGGCCCTCGTCTCCTAACCGATGTAGGAGTTTGGCATTAACACAACCCCCCCAAGCGAGAGGCTTGAGAGGTTTGGCATGGGTATAAACCGACACGCTTTGCCTAGGTAAACCCAAGCCTTCCTTCTAGTGTCAAATGTTGTTATGCCTTCTCTAGTCACATGGTAGGTGGTTTCCCAAAGGTATTGTCCGCTTTTGGTCCACAAGCTAAGCCGCTGACAAGTCCACACAGTTTTATCTTGAAAAGGCACCTCTGGGTTTTTTAGGGTGTCATTGTGCTATATAAGCAATTAAGACCTTCGTCTCCTAACCGATGTGGGAGTTTAGCATCAACAATGAGGATGGTGATTGTGAGTTGGATAGTAATGAGCTATGTTAGTTACTTTGTCAAAAAGATTTTTTTTTTTTCTTTTTTTTGGTGATCGGGTGTGTCCGGGACTAGCTTGTGTGCATTTCGACTAATCTCTTGGGATCCTAAAATTAATGACCGAATAAACCCTCCAGTAACCACCCCTATTAGCAACCGAGGGGAATCGAATTCAAAATCTCTTGAGTAATACACTCAAGAGTCTCTATCATTCCATCTGGTCACCCAAAGGTGGTTAAGTGAAAAAGATTTTGATGATGAACTAAGTAATGATTGGGTCTTCAAAATGAGTGTCAAGAAGAAGCACAATGATTTCTTCAAGAAGAAGTAGAATGATTTAGAGAGAAAGATAGAGTAGAGTTGTCTGTGTTGAATGCAATAGTGGTAGATTGAAGTTGAAGATGACGACGAACTAAGCGAGCATGTGCATGACACTGATGCTGGTTTGGACTTCAGAGGTTAAATAAAAAGACAATAATGGCCTTTCACCGTTAAGTTTAATGGTTAAACTTGAAAATTGGGTGGAACATTGATAGTTTTCGAAACTAAGAGTAGGTAAATGTAAATTGGCTTTAATATATACATGCCACTGAGATTCTTAAAACTTCAATACGAGTAGATTCATTGAAAAAGAAAGTTGATGTATATACACAAATGTCATCATAATCTAAGATTTTATAAAGTAGTGTAAAGCTGAAGCATTGTGTTTAAATTACAAATATTTGAATGGGAATAACATGTATATCCACTCTGAATTGTAAGTGGGGTTATTAAAGGCCCACAAGAAATAGGATGATCCCTCCCACTTCCTTCAAACAGTTGGGGCAATGACAGAAGTTGTGAAAGAGGATCCAAGGTGTCCGTCTCCAACGGTCTCATTGCCAGTTAGCATTCACTTTGCCATTTCCAAATTATGCTCCCAAACTAGTAGGTCCACTTCATTCTTTCCCTCAATTCAATGAACACTCACTCTTGAGGAAAGTGCAATTAACTATATTACAAGGTAAATATTAAAAACACTTTTTATAATAAAGGTATTTGTAATTTTAAATATTTATTAGGGGTTTTGATAATTACAATGGTGGCTTTATACCTTTTAAACGAAACAAAACCCTCTGTTTACATAGTAAAAGATTTTTGAAAATCTTTGAGATAATGTTGGCATAATAATGAGATTAGAAATTAAAAAAACAAAAAAACAAATGCCGGCAGAAACGGCGATGATTAATGTTGAAGAGGCGTTACAAAAGAAAGAAAGTGGGGTAATTGTAACATAAATGCAGTGGTGGTAGTGGGTCCTGACAAAAAGGAATACTACAACCCTCCCCATTTCAGCTTGACAGCTTCATTCCAACCCCACTCCCTCCCCAACTGCTATCTCCCTTCTTCTCTTTATATACTTCTTTTCTCTCTTTTCTTTTCTATACGTCTTCCCAATTCTCTTTCTTCCACAAACATCATTTCAAACTATTACTTCATCCATGGCTGAGGAAGTTCACAAGTCTGAAGCTCATCAAACACCTGTTTCTCAGGTTGAAGAAGTTGTGGTTGTAACTGATGAGAAGACTGCGACAATAACAAGTGCGGCTGTGCAGAAACCGGTGCCGCAGAGTGAAGAGGAGGATCAGTTGAAGCCTACCCACATTGAGGACGCTCCGGTTTTGGAGACTGAGACTGTGAAATCCGGTGGTGATGATGGCGAGAAGGTGCCTGTTTCAGATTCTTTCAAAGAAGAGAGCACTAGAGTTGCTGATCTTGCTGATAATGAGAAGAAAGCTCTTGAAGAACTTAAGCAGCTTGTTCAAGAAGCGCTTAACAAGCATGAATTTAGTAATGCCACCTCATTATCATCAGCACCACCCACCGCACATAAAGAAGAAGAAAAGAAAGCGGCTGCTGTGGTGTCTGAGGAGGAGAAAAAGCCAGCCCCGGAGGCACCAGCCGAAGCGGTTGTCGAAGAACCACCAAAAGCGGAGCCTGAAACCGTTGTCGAAGAAAAGAACGAAACAGAAAAGGAAGATAGCGCTGCTGTGGCGGAAGCTGAAGTGGTAGAAGAAAAGAGAGCTGCGGTTGTAGTTGCTGAAACGGTTGATGACGACGGTGCAAAGACTGTGGAAGCCATAGAAGAGACTATTGTAGCCGTGGCTTCAATGGCTCCACAGGAGCAGCCCGAGTCTCCGGCCAAGGATCAACCAGAGTCAAAGGAAGCCATGACTCCACTAGAAGAACCTAAAGATGCCAAGTCTGAGACTAGAATGCCGCCGGAAGAGGTTTCCATTTGGGGCATTCCACTTCTGGCGGATGAAAGAAGCGATGTGATTCTCTTAAAGTTTCTCCGGGCAAGAGATTTCAAGGTGAAAGAAGCCTTCACAATGCTGAAGAACACGGTTCACTGGAGGAAGGAGTTCGGCATTGATGAGTTGGTTGAAACAACAGACTTGGGTGATGATTTGGAGAAGGTTGTGTTCATGCATGGTGTTGATAAAGAAGGACACCCAGTTTGCTACAATGTGTATGGGGAGTTCCAGAACAAGGAGCTTTATCAGAAAACGTTTTCTGATGAAGAAAAGAGGCAAAAATTCATGAGATGGAGAATTCAATTCCTGGAAAGAAGTATCAGAAAACTGGATTTCAGCCCTGGTGGGATTTCCACCATTGTTCAGGTTAATGATTTGAAGAATTCTCCTGGATTTGGGAAATGGGAGCTTAGACAAGCAACCAAACAGGCCCTTCACTTGCTTCAAGACAACTATCCAGAATTTGTTGCCAAACAGGTAAACATAAAAGTTTCACCACAGGATTTTTGTCTTTATATTAAGTCATACAAGAAAAGATTGCTGATTTTGTTTTGAATGTGTGGTTTGTCATTTTAAGGTGTTCATCAATGTGCCATGGTGGTACATGGCAGTTAATAGGATGATAAGTCCATTTTTGACCCAGAGGACTAAAAGCAAGTTTGTCTTTGCTGGTCCTTCCAAATCTGCACAGACCCTTTTCAGGTTTGCAGATAAATTTGTTTTCTTTTCTCTCTTTTTCATATAATGTTTGTTTGGTGCAATATTGAACATTGGAATGTGCAACCAGATACATAGCTGCTGAGCAAGTTCCTGTCAAATATGGAGGATTGAGCAAAGATGGTGAATTTGCGCCCACTGATGCTGTTACTGAGATCACGGTAAAACCAGCGGCTAAGCACACAGTAGAATTCCCAGTTACTGAGGTGAGTAATTTTTTTGCCTTCATTCTCATTGGTCAATAGTAATTTATTTATTTTTCATACAAGAGGTTAATTGTATTTACCCTTGGGGGTTTAAAATATCTGGATATGCACAAATGAAGTTGAGAAGAAATAGACAGTCAACAGATAGAATTTAGACATAATTGACTAGGGGATAAAGTCTTTCTCTCTGTCAAACATTAATAAATATGGTAAAGTACTGGAATAGAGCATCTTTTCTTGGATTCTCTGGTTGGTTTTGTTGTTTTCTAGCCTAGTCCAAACTGGGAAATTGATAATATTAGCCAAAGATTGGTCTGAAAATTTAATGGTTAATTGTGCAGGAATGCCATTTGTCTTGGGAAGTGAGAGTGGTAGGATGGGATGTGAGCTATTCTGCAGAATTTGTCCCAAGTGCTGAAGAAAGTTACACAGTGATAATCCAAAAGGCAAGAAAAGTGACCTCAAATGAAGAAGATATAGTGACTGATAGTTTCAAGATTGGTGAACCTGGGAAAATTGTTCTCATCATTGACAATTCAACCTCAAAGAAGAAGAAATTATTTTACCGTTTGAAGACCAAGCCTTCTTCTGGATATCCAACCTTCAAGGATCAACTTTGTTCTGCCTAATAAATATATTATTATAGGGTGTTTAATTAATTTTTCTTCTTCTATGTTTAATTTATTTTTATTATAATTATATTTTTTGGGTTCTTTTATAATGTTATTAAGATTGTATTGTATACCAAATTTTAATTTATTGGGTTGTGCGATGTCGATTTTGAGCAACATTGCAATGGAAATTTTATTGGGGTACGAGAATTGAAGTGATATTATTATTAGGCAATTAAATCCAACAATTTAATTGTTGGTACCTTAAATTTAATTTGTCGGACCATTAAAGATTCAATTGATTAATTTTAAGGTAAAGTTTAAACATAAAAATAATGGAAATAAAGTAACTTAGACAGCCGTGCCATTTATTAAATTAAATGCCTCCAATTGATTAATACTCCCTTTACATTTCCATGACCAAATACCAATTTATTACGTATAAGAGGCGGATCCATGATTCTATCTATATATTGCCCAGGGTACGTAAATGCAAAAGTTCTTTTCTTCAAAATAATGAATATGAAATTTGAACTCATTAACTATTTTATTATTTTTATACTTCAATCAATATATTATCAAATTACCCTTACCTTTTGAGTTTTTTTTTTTTTTAAGAAATTATATTTTATAATCATTATTTAATGAGCGAGTTAAAAAATAAGTTTTTTGTAAACTTCTCTCAAAAATAAATTTATTTCAAAATTTCCATTGGTCAATCAAATATTCAAATAGCTTTTTTTTTTTTTTTTTTTTTTTAGTATCAGTAGATCGATAGAATCGATCTTATCGCTAACCTATCCCTTGGTTATCAATTACTTCGAATTTTTAATTAAAGGAAGGTATTTTGGTTTAATAGGTGCTGAAATTTTAGAATATAATTATTTCCTGACATGCTTTCATAAACATGCTATTTTCTAATTAAATCTTAAAAAATGGGTTATATAAATTAAATTTTAAGTCCATTTAATAGTAACTGCTGCTTTACGAACACTCTTTTATTACTAATAAAATTATAGAATTTTATTGGATTTTCAGCCAAAAATCTTTTTATTAATAATTAAACGTTTTATTTTTTAGTTTGAAGGAATTATCAGATACAGATGTTAATTCTTTTAGATAACGTGAGAAAAAGAATTGATGATGGTATGGTATTAATCGGAGAGCTCTTTGTTGGGTTTGTTTTATATTTTTGTTTGGCTTTTGAGGCTTTTTAGGAAAGAGATATTTATTTTTATATGGCAAAAAGTAAATGCAGATCACTACCAACACCTCTTTAGTAGCAATAATTTATTAAATTCAGCCTTAATTTGTTTAATGGTAAAGGAGTTGTTTTTATCTGGTCTCGTCATTCAACAAAGTGGAAAGCATGAAAAGCAGTTACTTGCTTCAAAGCTCAAACGAAGTACTAAAAAAAGAGGTATTCGATGTGAAAGGGGTTTTGGGTTTATCGTTTGATATAGGTTATACATATAAATAAAATTTTAACAAGGAGAACTTGTGAAAATATAATTTTTATTATTAATTGTTTAATTAGGGAAATATATAAAAAAAAATCTATAGAAAGAGGGTTTTAAATACAAAAAGATATTAACTTAAATTTATGAAATATAATATTCTGTTTAATTTCATTGTTATGTATTACATGGGTCAAATGAAAAGACTAAAGATCATTTGTCAAAGCAAAAGATAAAGGCAAAAGAAAAGCATGAATTCGCCAAAATAATATTGTCGGATAGATATAAGAAGAAAAAAATAAAAAAACACATCATCAACTTGCAAACTCTGATTAATTTGTCTCTGATGGGTCCAACGCCGAGTGCAACTTGTAAACCCATGTGCACTCCGGGGATGTCTGCCTTTACTTATATATAGTAAATACACACGCTGCTGTCTTCATCTCACCATGTTATGAGATTTGACGACACCATTATTACTTGACCTTTGAATGCATTGTTCATTATATGTATATATATAAATAAATTTAATAAATTCAAGATTTGTTCTAATTTTATTGATATTATTCTTAATATTAAAATTCAGAATCACTTTTCTCACTAATAAAAGAATATGTCTTTTTTTTTTTTTTGGTATTTGAGATGTTCGGATCAATTTGTACGCATCTTAACTAGTTTTTTAAGATTCTGAAGTTAACGGTTAAATAAGTTTTCAATAGTTGTTCTTTCTTAATAATCGTGGAGATTCAAACTAAAGATACCTTGAATAATCACCTATGAATCTTAAGCCAACTACCAAACCATTAGAGGTAATTAAAATTTGCCATTGTTCGGGATCAAACCTGGGTCACCCACGTGACAGGTGGGGATCAAGCTCGGGTCATTCTAGTAAAACTTTATATGTATAAAATATTATCGTAATTTTATGCATACTAAAGTTAGTATCCTAATTTTATATCTCATCATGATAAGAGTAATGGACATGTTCCCACCCAAGGTTTGGCAAAATTCCAGATTCCCACCCGTAATTTCATAAATTTCAATTGTCACTCTTATATTAACTTTCATTTAAAAATTAAGGATCGGAATGGTTATTTATTATATTTTAATATTTTCATTTAAAAAAAAAACTTCAAATAAAATAATTATAAAATATAAAAACCATAACTCATTTTTACTCTTTCTTCGGTCATTCCTCTTCTCTTTCATTTTTCTCTCTCTGTCACTTCGCCAGAAACTTTACTGTCTCCCCTTCTCTTTACTTGGGCTCTTTCTTCTCATCCCTTTCTTTTCTTCTTTACTTCTTCCTCAATTCTTCGTCTCTTTCTTCTTCACTTCTCCTCCTCTTGTCTTAGCCTTTTTCTTGTTCTCATTCTTTTTCCCTTTCTTCTCACTTCCTCTTATTCCTTCTTTTCTCGTCCTCCTCTTTCCTCCTCCCCTTCTATTTTCTTTACTTGATGGCCAAAGAAGGCCATGGCCGCACAATCTGGCCGAGCGATGGCTAAATCGGGCCGGCCGGATTAGATCCGACAATTTAATCGGGTTGTTTAAGTTTAATGCTTCCTGCCAAGTTTCTTTCTCTTTCCAGAAAAAAAGGAAGCTTTTGGATGGGAGATGTGGAAAGTAAAAGAAATTCAAAGCTTAAGTGAAATAAGTTTTTAAAATTTCATAAATCAACCTTAATTTTTTTTTTTTTTTTCTGTGTTAGCACTGAATCCATGGTGCTTTCCTATTAATTAAAAAAATTTAAATCATCTCCTTGGATATTTGCTTATTTGGACAAACATTTGGATATAACAGATGAAAATGAGGAAGTAGCGAGAAGTTTGTTGATTTTATAATAGGTTTTAGGTTATGTTTGGTTGTGATATTTTTGGTAACAATGGTGGAGGTTGTGATAATTTTTTATGAGAAGTGGAGGCTGTGAGAAGTTTGGTTGTGATGATTTTTAGTGAGAATGGTGGAGATTGCAATCAAAATCAACTATACTTTTTTTTCATTTCGGCTGGAATGGCACCCGGTCGGATGCGATCTGGCCGGATGAGGAGATGAAGTGGGAGGAGGGGGAGATGAAGAAGAAGAAGAAGAAGATGGGAGGGTAGTTTGGTTATAGCGGAAGAGGGGAAGAAAAAGAAGATTGGAGGACAGTTTGGTAATAGCACACTTTATATCTGTGTTAGAATCCAACCATTATTAACGATGGTACTTTAAGCGTAAAAATCTGGAATTTAACATGGAATTTCGCTCAACGGGGTAGTAACATGTCGTTTACTCTTATGAATGTCGTCAGTACATAAAACAACTGTACTAATTGTGAATGTGTGGCTGTACTCCTAATTATTGTTGGGTAAAATAAGAGATAAAAATATAATTAGTTTTAGTTGTTGTTCAAAGTATACTTCAGATAAAAAGGAAAAGAAACTGTAGGGTCGACAATAGATTATTTAAATTAGGATGTTTTGACGCATGCTTCTTGGTTGCTTTGATAGACCTACTTCCAAATTACACCACCTCCACCTTCACCTCCATTCATCTTGTCCTCTCCTGTTACATCTCAACTTTTTATATTAACGCTTTATATATATATATAATTTTTTAATATCTACTTTGCTTTTCACATTTCATATCACGTAATATTTAAATGAAAACTATTCGGTTCGAAAACTGGTGTTGGGTTAGTCTTGGACTGTTGCAACTTTTAAGTTTTATAACTTTAAAAATAACCGGTTTTGAAAATAATTTCATATGTGTTTAGTAATAATTGTAATTTTTATAATTATTGTGATTTTCAAAATCTACATCACATGTTTGGTAAATTAGTTGTGTATGTATAATGACTAAAAATGACATTTTATTTTTTATAATATTTTTATAATTCTAAATTGTAATGTATTAAAATAATTAAATTATTAAATAAATCATTACTTAATTAATAATTACCAAGTTGATAGAAATTTCTAATTATTCGTTGATTTATTCAATTTCTGAAATTAAATATCATAAATTGACATTTAATATCATACATTGTCAACCTTTGGAATTAGGTTGATTTTATGGAACTTTATAAGTTAACTTACTTATTTACATTATTCAGAAATTTTAGTTTGAAATACTCTCGATAACTTCCAGAAGCAATTCTAAGAGTTCATTTAAATTAGGAAAATTATTAGTTATATTTTCACGATGAAGAGTTTTGAGATAAAATGCTAAAAAAATTTAGCTCAAAAATAGCTGACTTCAACTTTTGGATTTTTTTATATTTTTTATATTTCAATGTTCATTTATATTTTAAATTTTAAATTAACCTTTATTACTTTTTTATATGAAAAGCAGTGAGCCGGATAAAAAATTGAATCCTGAATTTTCAACAATTCAATTAGTGAAATTTGATCATAATTACTGTATCAGCAAAGGTGTAGAAAAAAAGATATTGTTAATATATGATTTAAGAAAGTAATAATAATAAAAGATAAATTTGGCATATTATAAATAATTAAAAGATCTAGAGAATTTGAAAAATGAAAAGGTCAGTTTTTGATACTCTATAATTAAGGAAGAAATGAAACTAATAAGATATATTATTATTATAGGTTGAAATATTTCCAAGGACTCGTGTCGCCACATGTCACTATCTAACCATGATAAACTCGAGGAGAACTACTGTCGCCGCCCATAAACCCCACAAAAATCTTATATAAAATAAAATTTAACCCCTATAAATATAGTAATTCTACTAGGCACCCCTAGTTTTTGAAAGTAACACTATAGCCTCAGTAAATGTAACTTTCTAATTACTTTCTGGCCTCGTTATTCATTTAAAATAACATTTTAGGTCCCATAGAAAATATTTTCTGGCTCTGCCACTGGTTGCCTAGTACCATGAACATATTGATATGTCTAAAGATGGGTTGACAGCCTACTCTCAAAGAGAGAACCATGAAGGTCATCAACTCTCGCTTATTATGGGAATCCTATGAAGGTAGGGTGGCGATTAAAAGGAGAGTCATCCCTTGCTTGCCCATAATTACCATCCAAACGTCCATGTAATCTTCGCCAAGGCAAGGATCAGTTGATGGTGAAAGAGCCATTTCCATGTCCATTCCTTTTCCACAAACAATACATGTGTAAGCTTGACATGGATCTTTCTAGAGTTTCGGTAAAAGTATAAGGCTCATACAATAACAAAATAGGCGAGGCGCGGGCAGGCCAGGTGTCATGACATTATAGGGCCACTAAGAACTTTATTCAAAAACCTAAACTTCATTTTACTTTGATTTTCCTATTGGACTTTGTTTAAGAATTAAGCTCTCCTCAAAATTCTTCTAGTGATTTAAATGTCGGAGAGCTCACGCTCACAAAGTTTGTGAGCTGAACATCATACTCTTACAGAAATCCCTACCGCAATCCACAATCTTTTCTCACAAACCTTAAGTTATTATATTTTTCGATTTCTTTTTTCTTTATGGTATTTCTCTTTCATTCACATTTAAAGCTTGTTACTACTAATACAAGAAGTAAACAACTATTAACTGGAAAAACATTAGTCGGTCTCTGTTGGTCCCATTTTTCCAAAGGGCAGATTTAATTTCATACCTAAAATTTACCATATAAAATAGTTGTCTTCAAATAATTAAGAGGACGATGCACCGTATTTTTCATTCAGCGAAAACTTAAAGGAAAAAGATACATTTCTTAAACAAAAGAGCACGACATAGGTCTGATAATTCTCCCTAGATGGAAGAATTAATATAATTTATTTCATTATAAAAAACCGAGTACCCACAACCAAACATAGCGTCTTCATTACATGCATTAACAATTCTTGGTACAAAAACAGCGTCGAAGCACTCTTTGAGTTTTGCATCTGCCACCCAAAAAACCTTCATTCCTGCACACAGAAGCGCGGTTGCGGCTACTTATGCATGTTCCATGAAACAAATGGCTTTGTGACTCACAAAGCCTTGCTTCTGTTGGCACCACCATCACTTCTGTAAAGTCACAAGATTAAACATTTACAATTAACAATTAATGAAAACCTAATCAGTTTAATGGTAAAGAGTTTTTCTCACTTTACAAAGACTTACCAGAAGCCAAGATAATAAGCAGCAACAAGAAAAACTCAAAGGATCTCTTCTCCATTTCTCTCACTTCAACCAAATCGCTATTTCACTCGCAAATTTGTGCACTGAAAGACACCAAATATATAGAATTTAAGATTGCAGTGAAGTGATATATATATATATATACACACACACACAATTAGATGATATTAATAACGTGTACCAAAGGAGTGCATGCATGACCAAGAGGCACTCATATATTTGACACGAGAGCTCTGCACGTCATAATATAGTTTGGTTCTTTCTTTCTAAATAGATAAATAAATGTATAAAAATGTCGACAATTTCTGTGTTGTTTCCAACAGGTGGCTGTTTCTCAGCACCTTCTTGACAAATGGAGGTAACAACTTATTCTCAACGACAAATGGAAAGGCATCAAAGTTTTCAGGTTTTTTATGAACACAATTAGCTCAAGAGTGCACATTTTGATGTTGCTTCTGCTGGTATCAACAATTCTGTTGCTTGTATTTATACTGTAAATACAAATAAGTTTGTTAATATCTGGCACCAGATCCATGTACTTAATTTCATTAATACAAACATGGATTCAACTTCTCAATTGTCATTTTTGAACTCTAGTCGACTTGTTAAGTGTAGTCAATTACCTTTCTCCAAATTGTGTCACTCGATATCAAAGGCCTTTTTTTATGTTTGGGCCTTTCACCTCATATCTCTGATGAAAAATATCGATACTATGTCCACTTTATCGATGCTTTCAGTGCTTTCAGTGTGTCTATTTCATAGTTAATTAACTGAAGAAAATAAAGAATGAAAGTATAAAAGAACACCAACTCAATTTCTTTTATGATCTATTTTTTCTATTGAATAAAGAAGACATAAATAAATAAGATACAATGATGAAACAATTCCGGAAAGGAATCTCTCTTAAAGGAAAAAAAAAAATAAATAAATAAAGAAGATTTAACAATTAGGAATTCAATTTTCTTGTAAAAGGAAAATAATAATTAAGAAATAAAAAACTCTTAAAAAACAAGATACACTAGCTAATACATAACAAGAAAATAAAACAATCAAATAAACACAATCAACGACTGGACTTTTAACACTCCCCCTCAAGCCCATGCATAGATGTTGATCATACCAAGTTTCTCTACCAAGTTTTCGAAGTTGGCTCGAGCAAGAGCTTTTGTGAGAATATATGCAGTTTGACCGGTTGTCGGAGTGTAGCTAACCTTAAAAATTCCTTCTTCAATCTTTTCTTTGATAAAATGTCTATCTATCTCTACATGCTTAGTTCGATCATGATGAATCAGATTCTTGGCTATACTGATGGTAGCTTGATTGTCACAATATAATTTCAGAGGATGCTCCAAGGGAACCTTCAATTCTGACAATAATCTTTGTAACCAAATTGCTTCACAAATTCCTTGTGCCATGACTCGGAATTCTGCTTCTGCACTACTACGGGCTGCAACAGATTGCTTCTTGCTTCTCTAAGTCACCAAATTTCCCCAAATATAGGAACAATGTCCTGATGTTAATCTACGATCTATCACTAAACCTGCCCAATCTGCATCTGAAAATATCTCAATATTCCACTTGATCGTTCTTTGGAAGAAAAGACCCTTACCAGGTGTCATTTTGAGGTACCTTAATATTCTATAGACAGCTGTCATGTGACTCTCAGTAGGATTGTTCATGAATTGACTTACCACACTTACTGAGAAACCTATGTCCGGCCTTGTATGAGATAGATATATAAGTTTCCCTACAAGGCGCTGATACCTTCCTTTATCAATCAGTGCACTATCATTGTTGTTAACAAGTTTGACAATTGAATCCATAGGAGTTTTTGCAGGCTTGCATCCTAGCATTCATGTTTCATTCAATAAATCCAAAACATATTTACGTTGTGAGACTGCTATACCTTTCTTTGACCGTGCAATCTCCATTTCGAGAAAAAAAATTGAGGTTCTCGAGATCCTTGATTTCAAACTCTTTTGCAAGGAATTGTTTAATCTTACATAATTCCTTCTCATGATCACCTATCAGAATGATATTGTTCACATATACAATGATAACAACCAATTTCCTATCAGAGGAGTGCTTTACAAATAATTTGTGGTCCGATTGACACTGAGAGTATCCATACTTTTTCACTGCATTAGTGAATCTTTCAAACTAGGCATGAGGAGACTATTTTAAGCCATACAAGGATTTTCTGAGATGACATACCTTGTTGACATTGAATCTTGATTCTAGGCCTGTAGGAATTTCCATATACACTTCGTCTTCTAAGTCACCATTGAGAAAGACATTCTTTACATCGAGTTGGTGAAGCAACCAATCAAGATTTGCTGCCAAGGATAACAGTACATGAATGGTATTAAGCTTGGCATTAGGAGCAAACGTTTCCATTAAGTCAATGCCATATGATTGAGTAAATCCTTGGCGACCAACCTTGCTTTGTACCTGTCCACATTCCCAACTGCCTTGTACTTTACTGTGAAAATCCATTTACACCCAACCATTTTCTTCCCTCTCCGGAGTTCAGTAATTTCTCAAGTACCATTCTTTTTAAGAGCTTGAACTTCCTCATCAACTTCAGTTTTCCACTTAGGACACTTGAAAGCTTCCTGAATGTTCTAAGGAACATGTATCTCTATGATGCTAGCAGTAAAGGCACGGAAAAATGGTGACAGTTTATCATATGAAATAAAATTCCCAATGAGATGCTGAGTGTATGATCTAACTCCTTTTCTCCAAGCTATGGGCATATTCAGAATATCATTTTCTAACTCGGAATCAACAACACTATCTAAGTCAGAAATATTGTTACCTAGAATTTCGCTCGAATTTGGACTTGGTTCAGCTTCATGGATTTGTTGAGCAAGTGCTCCTTCCTCCGTTTCCTTTTAGATGTGCTCCTTATCCCGCAAGTTAACAATGAACTTAGTGTTTTCAACAACTAGGAGTTGATTAGGAGGCTCTGGAGAAATGTGATTTTCTATGGTGATGGGTGACTCAAAGTCCCAAAATTGATATTCTTGAGTTGAATTCTCCCCCTGAATATCAGTTTTGGGGTAGTAAGGCTATTTTTCAAAAAAGGTGACGTCCATCGAATGGTAGAATTTCTGCGTGCTGGAGAGTAACACTTATACCTTTTTTTATTTGAGGAATACCCAAGAAAGATGCACTTGAGTGATCTAGGATCAAGTTTACTTCTATGTTATTGATGGACATAGACAAAGACAAAGCACCCAAAATTTTGGGTGGGTTGGTGGAAATAAGACGAGTTGTTGGAAAAGATTTTAGGAGGGTGTGACAAGGTGTGTTGAAATTTAGAACTCTAGACGATATTCTATTGATAAGGTAAGCTGCCGTAAGAACTGCTTCCCCCCAAAGATATTTTGGTACATTTTTTGCGAACATGAGCGATCCAGCCACCTCTAGTAAATGCCTATTTTTTCTTTCAGCGATTCCATTTTGTTGTGGGGTATCTATACATGAACTTAAGTGAACTATTCCTTCTTTTGCTGGAAATTCTCCTAGGCTGGAGTTGAAATAATCTCTAGCATTATCAGACTTTAGGATTTGTATTTTTGATTGGAATTGGGTCTGAATTATATTTTTGAAACTTTTGAATATTTGAACCATTTCTGATTTTTCTTTCATGAGGAATACCCAAGTTAATCTAGTGTGATCATCTATGAATGAGATAAACCACCTTGCACCTGTTTCATTTTTTATTTTTGACAGACCCCAAATATCACTATGAATCATTGAGAATGGACTAGACACTTTGTAGGGTTAAACGGGAAAATGAGACGAACATGTTTTGATAATTGACAGATTTCACACTTAAAGGATTTTGGATTTTTGTTAAATAAGGATGGAAATAAATGCTTGAGATACATCAAATTTGGATGACCTAAGCGATTGTGCCACAACATGATTTCACTATCGTTATTTTGATGAGAAATAGAAAAGGAATTACCACTAATTGCCTTTTGAGGTTGTTTTTGTGGATAGTGGCACTCCTTAAGGATGTAGAGTCCAGAGCATTCCTCAGCATTGCCAATCGTCTTCCCCAAATCCAAATCTTGAAATTTACAATGAGTGGAGGAAAAATTAATAACACACCTATTTTCCTTAGTGAGTTTACTAATTGACAATAGATTACATTCCAAGTTAGAAACAAAAAGAACAAAGTTGAGAGTAATGTCCTTTGATAGCACAACTAAACCTGTACTGATAACTTTTGATAGCGAACCATTCGTTATTCGAACCTTTAAATTATTTGGACATGGGCTATATGTATCAAACATTGTTGCATCTCCCGTCATGTGATTAGATGCTCCTGAGTCCACAATCCAAGGTTTTTTACGTTTCTTACCCACAGTAAAGGCACTCAAAAAATTATATTTGTGAGTCAAGGTTTCGTATCCAATGACATGGTTGGAAGATGAGCCGGTTGTGACTGAGCTGATAGAAGAGGAGACAATAATTTTTGAAGCATCTCCATTTGCTCTTTGTTAAACAAACTTGCTTTAGAAGGTGATGGCTCCTCGGTAGAGATGTGATTTCCTCGGCCTTCTTTCTCCATCTATTGATGTAGAGATAACAAGTAGGAAAAACTTGATGATAGAGACAAAAAGAGGATTAAACCTGCTCTGATGCCATGAAAAAAATAAAGAATGAAAATATGAAAGAATACCAATTCAATTTCTTATGTGATATACTTTTTCTATTGAATAAAGAAGACAAAAATAAATAGGTTACCATGGTGAGACAATTCCAGAAAGGAATCTCTCTTAAAGGAAAAAAAATCAAGAAGATTTGACAATTAGGAATTCAATCTTCTTGTAAAAGGAAAAGAATAATTAAGAAATGAAAAACTCCTAAAATAATAAAAAATCCTAAAAAACAAGATACACTAGCTAATACATAACAAGGAAACAAAACAATCAACGGCATGACTTTCAACATTAACTTTGATCCTGTAATAACTCCTTTTTACTCATATACTCATAAAATATACATAATAAAAATACAAGT